ATGCAGGAAGAAGTGGAGATGGATTGGCCATGCACTGAGAAGGCCGACTGAGGACATCACGCGTCAGGCCAGGTACTCGAGTGGAATCCCCATGGGAAGCGACGAGTTGGGCGTCGGTGCCGAGGGTGACATGGAGGAGATGGTGCGGGGAGGAAATGAGAGCTTGTGGGCTGTTGTGCAGCCAGGTTCAAAAGATCTCAGAGAACAGAGTTCACTGGAGACGTGCTAGTGAAGCCCTATGTTCCACTAGGAACCCAAGGGACTAATAATAATAATTTAGCTTAGTCCAACGACCACTATTTGATTTCTTTGTTGCTTAGCATCATATGGTTTTGAAAGTAAATACTGAAATCCCTTATAAGTCATAGTGGTATAGATATATCCAACGTTTATGTAACATAACACTGTAATTTAATGTAAGAAAAACACTATAGAAGGAATGAAAACGCAGGGAATCAGTCGCATCCCGAATAGCAGCATTGGATGATGAGGGTTCGAATCTCAGGTGGGACATCAGTCTCGTCAGGGTTGCAGACACGCCTTACTGACGAATACCGACAAGCACGAAACGTGAGTTAAACAGGGCTTCTTATTGATTACCTCCGTCCAACTAACATCCATCGTAGTGCATCACAATGCTGATTCGCTTACCCTAGTGGTCACTTTGAAAAAATGTTCTCTAGGAATCGATTAGCACTTAGGACTAGACAACATGAGGTTAGTTACCTTCCAGTGACTCATTAATATGAACCGAAGACGCGTTCGTCTGATTTTAACGACACTAACGTCATATACAAATGGTTGAAATCTGTAATTCATTAATTACTTTTTCTGTTTTTTGAAATTATTATATGATTATTTGTCCCTTGAGTTCCTAGTGGAACATAAGGCTTCGGTAGCATGTCTCCATTCCACTCTCTTCTCTGCAATCTTTACAACCTGGCTCCACAACTGTCCACAAACTCTCATTTCTTCCTCATACAATCTCCTCCATGTCACCCTCAGCTGGGACACCCAACTCGTCCCTCCCATCTGCATTCCACTCGAGTGCCTGGCCTGACGCGTGATGTCTCCAGTCGGCCTTCTCAGTGCATGCCCAGTTCACCTCCACTTCCTCCCACTGCATATTTGTTGGGTGATAGGTTCTTGCTTCGTTGGCTCGTTGTCAATCAGCCAGAGTTACTTGTTGCTTATTCTTATTATTCTGACCAACTGAGCTTCAGTGAGGAGCCAGTGTAGGCAGTTGTTGATGAATGTCTGTAGTTTGTTGGAAATGCTTTTCGTAACGCGCCAACTCTCTGAACCATCTCTCTCTTAACCATCACAAAGAAGCATTGACTTGACTGAATTGGTGTTGAAAATCCAGATGTTGTTCACGCTTTATGCTGAGTGGAGTGGAGTAGATCTGCACACTGTTTTCAGGTTAATGAACACGTGTCTTGTTGTGTTTCCGATCCTGGCTGCTGTGACGTTGTTGTCTGTGTCTGTGGCGCCTGTAGTTGAACTAGTGCTACCCAGTAGTGTAAGTGAAAGAGGCTACTTCCTTTAAGTTTCTCCTGTTGATGGTGATTGGAGCTTGTTTTTGAAATAGCGAAGTATTTATTGTCATTTGACTATCTGAGATAGCCGTAATTTGGCGGACTAACACTTTCTTGTTGGGTGATGATTGATGGTGAAGTGAAAGTTTGAACCATATCCGGATTCGAACCAGAGACCACTGCGTTTCCGGCTCGATGATCTACCAACTGACCTACGAGGTCCGACTGCTAATTAGATTTTTATTTTAATTCAATCACAAGGTGGAGTCTTGCCCGACTACCATATGAGTTCATGATGTATTACTACCACTTGATCGTATCCACACTGGCTGCTGCCTAGTCAGGACTTCTCATCTTAATCCAAATCTAACTGAATTAGAGGGATAGGGGGAGCATCATACTGATTATCATTTTGACTACTATTTGAGATAGCTATAGCCTTTTTCTGCTGGGTAATGAATGATTGAAGGTAAAATGAAAATTTGAACTGCAGCCGGATTCGAACTACCGATCACGAGATTTCTGGCCCGATGTTCTGCCATAAAAATAAAATACAATAAAATATTTAATACGAAAATATTTAACTGAGAAAAATATATATTTAATTTTTAAACAATCAATCGAATAATTTCCAATTATTTATTTATCTTACGATATTAGTGTTGAAAAGGATTTGAGCCTACCAACTGTCTACTGAACAACACCAGAGACTAACAATTCACTCATATAACCCAAGTATCTCACTTGGATAAGAAAACTAGTCAACTGTTTTGTAATAACTCTATCTGGGGGTTTGAGGAGATTATTGTTTGATTTTAAGTTGGCATTCATCACGAATTGACATCAGTTAGCGGAACATTGAGAACCTGGGAGCACAGAACGTCTGTTTCGTCCTAGTATTGACTCTTCAGCAGTGTGCACTCATGAACTAACCTCACCAAGCATCGAACCCAGGACCTTCAGGTTCCATTGCCAGAGCGTCTCCATTCAGCCATTGGGTTGGAATCTAGAGGTAGGGTCAAAGGTGTACATTCCTGAGGAGTCCTATACTACTACGACACAAAGGCTATCCAGTGCTATTGGGTTTCGAATGTTCCTCCAACTGATATTTTGTTGGAAGTTCAACTGTGTAGGATAAGCGTAGTTAAGAAAGTGAATAGTGAAAATAGTGATTGAACTTTGCAAAACTCCTAAAGGTCTGACAAGATTTCTGTTAAATAATCCAAATGGGACCGATAATAGTGAAGTTACGATTTGGATTGTTGAAGCCCGTAGAAGACGTAAATTGTCTGAACCGTGTAACGTGCATTTGCGCAACATATTTCGAACTATCTGGTCACAGACGTACTTGTCATAGGTATTTATATGAAAATTTATGAAGGTAAGTAGTGTATTGTTGGAAAACGACTATCCATCAAAATTTATTACGCGGCACAAAATTTTCAGGTCGCTAGAACCAAATCTTCACTTTGTCTTGACCAGTCTTCCAATGTAAAGGTGACTCTCTCATAGTGAAATCCTTAAACCGTGACCTAATCCTCCTGTTAGAAGAACTTACTATGCAGCTAGGATTTGATCAATACAAACTATCAACCACATATTTTCTCCCAAACCCATACACCATGTGAACGATAACGTCATGTCCCAGTGCACCTACCAATTCAAATTCATGTGTGGTAACACATACTCAAGAAGGACTCATAGATCCATGCAAGTAAGGGCTTAGCAACATATTCCAAAGTGGCATCTCATCACAAGCAAATTAAATCACCTGAACCCATAAGCGTTGGTAACACACGTCCATGTTCTCCGATCGCCAAACATATCGTTGACACAGATCACAGAATTGACATAGCTACTTCCTTTAAACTTATTTACAAAAGGTGTTTGGGACGGATCCTTAAATGCATTGAGGTCTTAGCTATTAGAAAGTTGAAACCAGGCTTGTGCGTTGAAAAACGATTTGTTATTGCATTCAATCTCCCTTGGTAAATTCAACTAGTGAAAATCAAGTTCGATGTACTATTATTTTCGTTCTATTGATTTTCAATGTTATTTGGTCTTTAGTTCAGCTTTCCTACTTGACCTCGTTTCATTTTCTCACCCCTTATCCCCTTATGAATTTTCAGATAATTACCTATAACAACAGTGTACTTGTGCAACCAGATAGTTCGAAATGTGTTGCACAAATGCATATTACACGGTTTAGACCCATTTACGTCTTCTTATCGTTTTGTCGGAGTTTATAAAGGGAACCGATTGTTTTAAGTTTCAAAATATTTTCCCTGTAAACAAAAATAACTTACAGCATACTATCATGTGGGTAATGTTGAGGTCAAGCGAAGGATACTAGGCAAGATAGACAAACTTGTGAATCTTCATCGGATGAGGTAGCTTTCAATATGTACTGCACATACCTAGCGGCCGCCTATCTTGATATGTCATGTAAGAGGAAGTGGATTAAGTGTTATTGCTTGTATTACACCGTCGTTGATAGGATCGAATTGATCAGCCTCTGTTGGCATATGGGCTCCTATGCGGATGCCTCGGTATTGCCTGTCTTTTAACTATGTTTAGTAATGATGGGCAGTGGCTAGCAGTCGAATCCAGGATGCGCATTCCGTCCTATTTGGGACTCCTCAGCTGGATGTACCTGCTTCCCAGTGAGTGATGTTGTTCCCACTGGGACATGCGCATCCTGAATTCGACTGCTAGCCACTGTCCATCATTACTAAACATAGTTAAAAGACAGGCAATATCGAGGCATCCGCAAACTAGCCCATATGCCAACAGAGGCTGATCAATTCGGTCGAATCAACGACGGTGTAATACAAGCAATAACACTGAAGTTGGATTATGTTTGAAAAGGGTTCAAAGTTGTCCCTGAAAAGAAGGAAATCAGTGGTTGAAAACCCTTGTTGACATGATGTACTAATCGTTATTTTCAAATTTTCCATTCTCTCATATAACTTTTTCTACTTCGAATACCACTCTATTTCTATCCACTTGTTCTTTGTATACTACTGGTAACTATGGCAACTTGAGGTGATGCATTGATGCCCGAGGTTCTACGTTGATTTTGTCTCTGTGAGTGCATGTGTGTATCTATATGCCTACCTGTCTATTTGTGTGTTTTTACTCCAATATAAACTTGGTTACAGTTTATCGGCTTTTTTGATCTTGGTGACTAGCAGAGGAGTGCAGGAAGCACGTTTTGTCCTATTTAAAACTTACCACCTGGATACATCTGCAATCCAATGAGTGATATTGTTCTAACTAAGGTTTGCTTCTAGTACCCTTCGCTTTAAATAGTACAGCGTTATCCACTAAGTCATTTGTCATTGACTTTTTGATGTTATACACTTTACCTTTTTATCCGACAGTTATCTTAAAATTTATATAAAAATTAAAGTGACTTAAATCATTCAAATTAATTTTTCTGTTCTTCTTTTTTCGTGATAGTGACAATGATAATTTGAATGTGGTGAGTTCATTTATTGATTAACTTTTTCTTTTCCATGAACTCTAAATAAATATTCCCCATAAAATAAATTTTTCAGTCAGTATTACTTAATTTTGCAGCACACATGCATGCCCCCCACCCTATCAAGTATCCAATAGGATACCATTAGGCTACATTGATTGCACGTTACAATTGATCAGTTGGGTTACAATCCAATCGTTCACATTTACCTACTTCTATCACTTCATATTCGGTAGAACAAACGAATTTGAACGTGAGAACAGGTATTCACCGATAGCGTTAGATAAATTTATGATCACCTAGATCATACAACAAACTATAAGGAGCCAGAAGAGGGGCATACGCTGGCTGGACCGATGAAAAGACCCTAGAAGATTTGAATTTCTCCGATGATGATTTATGTCTAATGTCTTGATGCACAAACTCGAAGATCTACAGGTGAAAACCAACAAGTTGACAAAAGAGGCGAGGGAGCGAAGGAAGATGGGACTTCCTTCAGGTGGATGTGAAGAAGACAGAGGGGATGAAGATAATTAACCAACCAACAACAACGATAACAAGCACCAATCATCATTAACGGGAGAAATGTGAAGGAAATTGTCTCTTTCACCTACCCATCTACCTAGGTAGCATCGTCTCAACTAAAGGCGGCTGCACAGGGATAGATGAGGATATCAAGGCGAAGATTGGAAAGACAGCAAGACGGGCTTTCCTGCGTTAACCTGAAACCAGTTAGTGTGAAGATCTACTGCACTCGGCATAAAGCGTGAACAACATCCGGATTTTGAACACTAATGTCATTCACGTCATTGCTCCTATGTGATGGCTGAGAGAGTTGGTGCGTCACGAAGAGCATTTTCAACAAACTGCACACATACACCACATCAACAGCTGCCTCCTACGCTCAGTTGATATTGAAGATGGAGATCAGATGATGAGAATAATAAGAATAAGCAACAAGAAACACTGGCTGGGTAGCAACAAAACAACCAAGAAGCCATCACCAATTAAATATACAGAAGGAGAAAATGGAGATGGATTGAATTGGATTGAACATACACTCAGAAGGCCATTTAAGGATATGACGCGCCAGGGCAAGCCGTCGAATGGAAGCCCAATGGAGAACGACGGGTTGGGCATCCCAGCTAAGGGTGACATGAAGGAGATCATATGAGGAAGAAATGAAAGGTTGTAAGCAGTTGCGGAGCCAGGTTGAAAAGACTACAGAGAAGAGAGTGAAGTGGAGACGTCCTACTGAAGTTCTTTGTTACACTAGGAACCCAAGGGACAAGTAATAATAATAATAATAGTGAAGTCATAGAAATAGGAAGATATGAACCATTGGTTTCTGACACAGTGGGTCAATAGTAACTTACACGCCACGAAACTTGAAGGTCCTGAATTTGATCCCAAGCCATTGGTTCTATAGTAGGCTGAAACAGCTGTTCAGTGCTCTCAGATTTTCAGCGGTTTTTCAGCTGCTTTCAATCCATGGTGGATACCAACTTGGTGAAGAATGTTGTTATAGGCCAAAGAATCTAGTAATTTATACGATCCTTATTAACCTGAAATAGTTCGATAAGCCATAGTTTTCTAAATTGTAATTACACACGTCCTTACTAGCATAAACATAGTGACATTTGAAAGACTGACCAATTGAAATGCAATATGCTGGCGATAACAGCATACAAAACGGATAACTGATGAAGTTACTGTGGTCCATTTAACATGCTTACAAACACTATTTGTGAACTTTATTTAACCTCAAAGCAAATAATTTGATTTCATAAACACAAATGGTTTGTCTAATGAAAATTTTATCAATTAAATTTTGAGGGGGTTGTGGAGATTTGGAAATATTTCAAGTTGTTATTCATCGAAGACTGACATCAGTTGGAGGAACAAAGGAAACCTGGGAGCACTGGACAGCTGTTTCGTCCTAGTATGGGACTCCTCAGCAGTGCGCACCCACGACCCCACTTGGTTTCCTTTGTTCCTCCAACTGATGTCAGTCTTCGATGAATAACAACTTGAAAATTTTATCATTTATTTGTCCCTTAGGTTCCTAATGGAACATAGGGCTTCAGTATCACATCTCCAGTACACTCTCTTCTCTGCAATCTTTACAACCTGGCTCCACAACAACCCACAAGCTCTCATTTCTTCCTCACATCATCTCCTCCATGTCACCCTCAGTTGCAACACCCAACTCGTCCCTCCCATCTGGATTCCACTCGAGTGCCTGGCCAAAGGCGTGTGATGTCCCCAGTCGGTCTTCTCAGTGTATGCTCAATCCATGTCCACATCCTCCCACTGCATATTGGTTGAGTGATAGGTTGTTAATTGGTTCGTTGGCAGCCAGCTAGCCAGCCAGCCAGAGTTCCTTCTTGCTTATTCTTATTATTCTGGCCAACTGAGCTTCAGTGAGGAGCCAGTGTAGGCAGTTGTTGATGAATGTCTGTAGTTTGTTGGAAATGCTTTTCGTAACGCGCCAACTCTCTGAACCATCTCTCTCTTAACCATCACAAAGAAGCATTGACTTGACTGAATTGGTGTTGAAAATCCAGATGTTGTTCACGCTTTATGCTGAGTGGAGTGGAGTAGATCTGCACACTGTTTTCAGGTTAATGAACACGTGTCTTGTTGTGTTTCCGATCCTGGCTGCTGTGACGTTGTTGTCTGTGTCTGTGGCGCCTGTAGTTGAACTAGTGCTACCCAGTAGTGTAAGTGAAAGAGGCTACTTCCTTTAAGTTTCTCCTGTTGATGGTGATTGGAGCTTGTTGGTGGTGGTGGCGTTGGTTGGGTATCTCCATCACCTCTGTCTTCTCTACGTTCATTTGAAGTCTGGTATTTGCTGCCCTGCCTTTTCTGTCAGCTTGTTAGTTTTTGCCTTATGGCACATAGTACAATGTACTAGATGATGTTTGGAACAGAATTTACTACTTATATTCGTATTAAAAGTAATCATACGACTTCAAAACGTGACTGTTATATAGTCCAACCGTTCATCCTTTTATTTTAATGGTAATAAAATTTGCCTTATATATGCAATATATGACGAGTCATTCCTGTTACATGTATTGGTTGTGTTATTTGAATGAATAAAGATTACTGTGAACAACCTCTACGTCTATCTAGTTATTTTGGATTTTAGAATTTTTGCCTTATCCTACCCACTTTATAGTATAATTATGGGTCAATGCATGCAGACCGATAACCGAGTTTTTGTTTCTAAATTACCCACGTTAGTATGATCTACTATTGTGTGTGGCGCTAAATTTTCGTACTGCGCTATTTTGACTCACCCCGATCGTCTGCTTTGATCTTATTGCTTAACCCCACAATCGTTACACAATACTTGACAGATTAGGTTATTTTGCTTAATTCACTCTACTGGATCGTCTAGCCTACGAAGTCTCAGTGATTGAGTTTATGTGTTTGAATGCCACCTTTGTCTCAGCAATGTTAAGAATTCTACGTAAAATTTCCGATGTACCTTGTTTATATGATAATACTACAGAGAATTTGAATTCACTCTGAGGTAGGTTACAATCACCACCAACATTATCACTCCTGCTCTTATCAGTCCCTAGGAACTTTGTAATAAATTGTGAAGGGTTGTTATGAGGAAGTAGTGCCTGTTTGATATGTTTCAGTTCGATATTTAGGTTTCCTGACTTACTAGTTCAACTCTTAGTCCGGTTAATTTGACACTTTATCAAGCTTACATTGAAAGATGTTGGTCGAGATGATTTGAAGTCCAGATATCCTATTGGAGTTTTATGGTTTCTTATGAACACTGGTATCTAAGCTTCCATTGCCCCTCTCCTCTTGACTTTTTAAACTAACCTAGATTATAATTCTCTGTCCTCATTTTCTAATTCATAAGTAAATTAGGTTGGATCTATTATCGAGTTAATGTGTATGTGGAAAACTGTGTATGTCTTCAAATTTCGATAGCGTAAATGTCATTTACATATATCTGCAGCGTATATATATATATATATATATATATATATATATATATATATATATATACCCTGAAAGGCTAACTGCGCATAAATTGTAACATTTATGCAGAAAGTTCTACTAGTATTCATCAAATGAAGTCATCTGTATTGATTGAGAGATATCCCTACTCGCACTCATCAAGAGACGACAGTAAGATGAACTGTTATTATACGTGACATTAAAGTTTGGATTGAAATAGATGTGAAGGTAACAGGTATTGCATCACACTTAACATAAATAAAGTACATTATTATTGAGGTATTCCGGTTGTATTGTCTAGGGTAGGATACATTAGGTAAGTCAATTTATCATTTACTCCGAGTTACCATGATGAATACAATTGAAGTATGGTGAAAGAATACTAGGATAATTGCTTACTTTAATTTACAGCGAAAGTGTATGTACCATGTGTAGGATAGCAGAAATCAATATTAAAAGGTTTTGAGAAAGAGTGAATGAATTATAATTTCCATTAACAACACTACTGTCTCCATTCTATTATTTGGTTTGAGGTAAACAGCAGGAAGCCATGGATCTGTGTTCCTTGCTTATCAACACTCATCAGCGAAGCATTTCTACAACCTCGACAGAACTATAGTCCCACTGTGGCTGACTATTGAAATTGAAAATTTCTCATCTTCTCATGTACCATATTAGATGGTATATTTCTATAGGGGCTTATTACATTACAAACTAACCATCTTTCCTCCCTTATCTAATTATATTTCAATTCAAATGAATTGGTGAGTCTTGATTTTGAGTGATTTCTGTCAGGATATAGTATTATAAATAAATATGTAGATAAATCAAGGTAATCTGTTGAGTGGTACAATTTATTTGATTTGGATAAGTAGTTTTGGCAATAAATTGAATCATTGAAATTCATCACTAAGGCTACTTCACTTCATTTATAAAAGTAAACTTACGTGAACATCATGACTAAATGGTTAGGTTACATTTAGTGAAAGTTACATGTTCACCAAACTATT